GACTACTGCGATCCTGCCTAGTGCCTACGTACGCCACAGTCCACAGGACGAACCCCGTTCGTTTGTCTTAAATTTGACTTGTTCGGCTTGTTTTTTCAGCCGGAACAGTGTTTTTCTCTCACAATAATTCAGCCGGAATAATGTTTTTCAGTCAGTTTGAGCCAAAGTTCAGACCAGCGAACGGGGCCAACATGGGCATTTCCAGATTTTCTAGTCCTTGGAGGACATCCCATGTTCTGAGCGATCTAGCGGCTGCCAAATGGATGATCTTAGCTTAGGATCGCGTCACTGATGCTATGGAGCAGCGAGCTGTCCGAGCAGTCGAGCACATGCGCTCAGCGCTCTGGGCCGAAAAGAGAAGGCCTCGGATGGATTGGGACCGGACATACGTGCAAATCAAATTTGGATAGCAGCATGTACCACCTTTTAGTTTAAATTTTACTATTCAGATAATCAGATACAAATATTATTAAATGTAATATCTACTCAGTGCCGGTGCTATGATTTTAAGGGCTCTCTGACGATCTCGTCGCAACGGCCTCTCTTGACCATGAATAAAATCTTATAATATATAAGCGCTAATTTTACTTAACATGTCTGATAATTATCGAGGAATAATGTACATTAAGCAATATATTTGTAGATCTATGATAATTATCGAGGAACAATATAGATTAAAAAAGTAATATATTCGTTTTCTTTTCTCATCCATGACAAATGTTTCTTAGATAACATTCTAAAATTCTAACACATAGATTAGAAGAAAAATATAACTATATGGATATAAAGTACTAGAAGTCTGGAATACTACACAAATAATTAATTTGAATTAAAAATAAAAAGAAAAAAATACCTTGGACTAAAATAACTGATCGGTGATCGCAATTCATAAGAAGCCAAGAATCAAGATGTCGTCATCGTGGAGCCCTGCCTGGTCGCCGTCCTTGTGCGCCGTGTCCGTGTCTCTGGTAGTCTAGCTCTTCGCGGCGGCGCGGCTCGCCAGCTCCGCGTTGTAAGGCGCACGTCGCGAGCTCACGATCAGAGTGTGCTGTGTGCAGCGTAACTCCTCGTCTCCTCTCTACCCGAGGGCTGTGGGGAAAGGAAACTATGAAAAAAATGCCGATGTTGTCTTTTTGACCGTCTGACTAGTTCTATGTCTCTCTTCTCATTAGTTTGCTAATACCTAATGGACTATAGGACTTGAGGGTTTGTATACCTGAGCTTGGACCCCTCCTCCGCTTGGGTCCTCGGTTGTCGCACCTCATACCCTACCCCTAGGGCTGGCACTGTATCTACTTGATCTTGAAGATAACAAATATATATTTGATTTATTGATAGTTTTTTTAGAACAAAAATCATTATACACGTAATGATTTAAAATATGAGTATATAAGTATATAACACATGTAGATAAAAGGCAACTCATAAAAAACAACAATAAATATTCAATAATTAATATATAATTAATAAATAAATCAATCAATAATATGCCAATATATACAAATATTTATCACTAAATTATTAAAAATATATAAAGCCAATTTCATCAATATATAAATAAACTAAAGTATATTAAAGTCAATATAACGAGCCATATTAAAATTAATTAAACTTAACCTTTATATAGCATTAGTAGTATTAAATTTGATATAATGTCATTACTCATGCATAGAGATAACTTTTAAATAATTGATATGACAATTTATAATATTAAAATTTATATAATTTATATTGGTAATTAGTCATAGATATATGTTTTAGATGATTTCATTGCGTAGTTTGTTCATGGATACAAATAATGTTAGATATCTCACAATTTTTAAATATAGATCTAGACGTGGATAGACAATAGTAGTGAAAAACGGAGATACATTCATTTAGAATCCCACAATAGAATTCGATACAAATGCGGATATCTTTATTGACATTTTACTAAATGCATTATTGGATGATTTCAGACATCCAAATCCAAGAAACATTAGTAATTAGGAGTAAGTTTGCAAAAGGATCTACCCTTTAACTACTCAAAACAATCTGATTTGTTGTCTAGCCCCACAAATATTCTATTCATTATCACAAACAATCCAAGAAGGCAACAACAAAACAATCGCCAATTAGCAAAAACCAATCAAAACTATTGCACACAAGTTACTCATCAACAAAGTAGGCCGGCTAAGCTTTTGCCTCACCCCTTTACAAGCTTTGGAAATAAAGGTGAGCTATCGTTAGGATCATATTGCGTAATAGAGTGTCATTCCACAACTAAGGACTATATTTTAGTGTGCCCTTTGCTAAGGACATGATTAGTATGATGGCCATAAGGACTTGATGTTATTGTGAATCTTTTTTGTCCTTAGGCAAGAGCTACAAATGAGATGTGATAGAATTGCATAGGCTAAGGTTTGTCATGGTTAAATTTTTAGATCCCAAATTCACCTCCCTCTTTGTGGTCCCTACACTAATCCAAGAATTACCTAGTGTGCTTTTGTAGCAAAATTTAGGTGCCACTGTGTCTTGGGAGTTTAGACTTTGCATAGGCTAAAGTTATTGCATTAAATCTTTAGAGTCCTATTTACTTCCCCCTTAGACCAATTAATCCTTGTTATAATGGGATCTAAACACCTTGGCTAGATAATTTTTAGTAAAAATTAGCCAGGGCGCTTAATTACGTTTGGAGATATAGGAAGTAGTTGAGGTTCAAAGTAGGGGCAAACGCAGCGATTCCCTTTGGAATTTGTCTGGATATATATATACACTCTCATCCATGAGTCATTAAGAACAAGATGACCAAACCATGTGCTACACGATAGTGCTCTCTCCATTTCAAATTAATTACAAGGTCAATTTTGTTTTGCTAGAACAAGCCTTTGATCAACATTTTTTTACTAATACATAATATTCCATTTTTAAATCATACTATAAATGAAACGGTAAGAAATTAAACACGGTCAAAAGTCTTATCCTAACGAGGTAAGCATCCTCCAATTAAACATGGAATTGTTTGGATACCCCTCTGGTTATAATAATGAGATTATATAATCAAATTTTGATCCAAACATGATTGATTATGTGATGGATTATTATGATCAAAACCATAATCCAGGTGAGACCGTGAGCAGCTGAAATCAGCATCCTCCGGTTGTTTTCGCACGCTAGACATATGCAGTACTGCTCCGTGCCCAGGTGGCAGAAAATGACCAAAATTGATGACACGTTTTTCTTCTATGTTTGACTTGACTTGCCACCAGATATTCCACACCTAGGTCCAGTTTAGTTGTAAAAAATTTTGCAAAATTTTTCAAGATTTCTCGTCACATCGAATCTTTGGACGCATACATGAAGCATTAAATATAAATAAAAAATAAAACTAATTACACAGTTTAGACGAAATCCACGAGACGAATCTTTTAAGCCTAATTAGACTATGATTGGACCTAATTGTCAAATAACAACGAAAATTGCTACAGTGCCATTTTGCCAAAATTTTTTGCATCTAAACCAGGCCCTACACTACACAACATAAGAGTATATCTGCGCCATTCGTCTGGTCACAAAAGCTGACTCGTTCAGTTTTTTTTTCAATCAAAACAGTGTTTTTCTCTCGTAGCAATTTAATCGGAACAGTGTTTTTTAACCAAATTTAGCTCAGCGAACAGGGAGCACTCTAGTACTAGCAGATCGAGGTAAGGAATCCCTGCTGACATCGTTTATATTACGCTTAATACTGTAACTTTTTAACTTGCTCGTGCGAACTGGTGCACCGTCCCGTCTCCAACCGATGATGAATCGGCGACGACCTGGGAACCGGGACAACGGGGCAAGTTCACCGTGGGTCCGGTCCGGTGCCGCGGCGGCAGCGCGCACCGACGCGATGGCGAGAGCTCGTGTTTGCCCGTGCTCCCAACACTCGCAGACGGTACTCTTGCCGCACCGCCGCACACGCAGCCATCGACAGGGGGGCAAAATGCATGCATTGTGCGCGGCAGGGGGCCGGCCGTGGGCACCTGCGCTTGTCCGGCGGCGTCTCTCTCTTGCCGGGCGTCCGGCCGTACCCGGGGAAATTAGCCGGATCGGCACGCGCGGGCGGGGCTCTACTAGCTACCGGCCGATGCGGCGTCGCCGTCGCGCGAGCTGCCGCGCGCCGTGCCCTACCTGTCGAGCTAGCTCGCGGCCAAAGCTCCTGTACGTCCGATACTCCGATCGGTTGCCTTGTGAACCTTTGTCCTCTCTCGCGGCTGGTGGAGAACCGTACGTATGTTTTTCCGTGGCTATAAATTGTCTATGCTATATATATACTCCGTGCATACGTACACATCTGATCTCATGCCTAAATTCAGAAATGCCAGCTTGTCAACTTTGCATTGCATGGCGATTTTCATTCACTTTGTTGGTTGTGGACTTCAAAGTTTGGTTGCTAATGAGTGGTACTAGATCTTCTTGATCCCACTTTTGCTGTTCATCAGCCTGCTTTGTTAACCTGTTGTTCACAAAAAGAAAAGTACAACAAACACCTTGAGAATGCAACCAAACACATCCATAAATCGACTCTGCGGTTAGAAGAGAAAAGGTCAATCCAGCACCAAGGTACCCGATAAATATTACATATCGACATCCGTAAACATGGCATTGACGATCCATCGTTCTAACTAACGTGTGCTGAATAGTCTTCAAATTTTTCTTGTATCCTTGAAGTGAGTCACCGTACATTGCTACATTGAGTTTACATAGCTCCGAATGCAGCGCGACATTTCTTTTGAAACGGTGATTACGTGCGTGGGTCCATCTGCTGTGTGTACGTCCGGCATCACACCCTGGCCTACCACCTGCACCTGGTCACCTACTCTCCCCTGACCTAACACTGCAGCTACCCCCATGGCCGTGCCACTGTATGTCTGTATATAAGCACAGTTGGCTCACCTCCAAGCAAACGCATGTACTACTGCTCCATATCATCACCAGCGCTGTAGTAGCTCTGCACGCAGAAACGGCGGCAATAATCCATGATCCGCCAGCCGCAGGCGAGCTACGGCCACGGCCGAAGGATAGGAATGTGGCGTGGCCGCTGGGGGCTACGAGTGCGCCATGGCGGCGTCCGGCTGCGCCTGCTGCTCCGGGTACGCCTGCGCTTATCCGGCATCGTCGGACTGCTCCTCCGGAGAGTGGAGGAACTCAGGTGCCGCCCCGGAGGCAGGGCCTGCAGGTGGTCGGCTCCGAGAGCGTCATCAGGGCCTGCGCCGTGTCGCCGCGCCCGGATACCCGAGAGGGACCAGAGCTCCTTCTACGCGGAGGCCATCGCCGACTGCCTCGAGTTCATCAAGAGCAGGTCGTCCTACCGTCCTGTGAATGATGGTAGGGTTTAGTCTCCGTCACTTCATTTGTCTCTTCCTTGGTTGGTATAGCCTCTTACTAATTAATGTGATGATTGTACCTAGATTTCTATGATTGATATGAACCAATAATCATTTCATATGTCAGCCAATGAAGTTTAGGCTGTGATTGCCCCTGATGCGTGTATGTAAAACAACATTGTGTGATGGCCATGCCTTTGGTCTTTTCTATTCACTACCAGGCGATTTGCCGAGTGCCTAATGCACTCGGCAAAGGCTATTTTGTCCTCGGCAAAGCCTTTGTCGAGGACAACACTCGACAAAGAGCCTCCGGTAAAAAATCCGTCGGCAAAGAATTCTTTGCCGAGCGCCTTTTATCGGGCACTCGGCAAAGTCTTTGCCAAGTGCAATCTCGCCACTTGGCAAAGAAAAGTCCCCGTCACGGCACCGGTTCCGTTAGCACATGCTTTGCCGAGTGTCATGTCAGAGGTGCTCGGCAAAGATTTTTTAATTTTTTTTAAAATTTCTTTACCGAGTGCCCTACCGGGGAGGCACTCGGCAAAGATTTTTTTTTAATAATTTCTTTGCCGAGAGCCCTGCCAGGTCGGCGCTCGGCAAATATTTTTTAATTTTTTTTTGTAATTTCTTTGCCGAGTGCCCTGGCCCTGGCACTCGGCAAAGTTGGGAATTCTGCAAAGCTTTGCCGAGTGCCAGGGTCAGGGCACTCGGCAAAGAGGCTAAATTTTTTTTGATTCTATATTCACAAACACAACATATAAGAGAGATATATATATAACATTTGTGACATCACAAACACAATATAGCGCATATATATCACATCCATCTCATCACAAAGGCAATACCACATATATATCACATGTCGATCACACAATATCTCACATACACGACATCACAAGCATAATAGGTCCAATATCCATCGAAACAAGTCGATAGTTGATCACAGTGCATCACATGTCCATCAAGCGGTGAAAGAGAGATACAAACTACCGGTGGGGAGGAAACTGAGTGCTTGGTGAAGGAAAAGTGTCGTCGCCTGCTTGCGCCTGAGATGGGTTATTCGAACCCGCCGACGGAGGCTGCATAAAGGACAAGAGATTGCATCTATTAGAGTGGTCATCTAATGAAAGCACTAGTTGAAGCAATTTGGTTTCATACTCACAGGACTAGCTATAACTGGCGGCGACGGTGGAGCGAACTGCGGCACAGCTACACCGTGCATTTGCCCAAAGTTCTTCAGGAACGTCGTAATCTCCGCCAGCTGCTTGGCCTGCCTTTCCCGCTCAGCCCGCTAGGCCTGTCTTTCCCGCTCGGCCTGCTCGGTCCTTGCCGCCAGGTCCCGCAGCTCCTGAGCCATCTTCTCGTTATCGACCTGCAACATTTGAATCGAATGTTTCATAAATGCAAAGGTAACTAAGTTATTTAAAGATCAATGTACGAAGAGTTAAATGGGACTAACCTGGAGTGTGTCGACCCGCTGCTGTGAAGGGGACGGCCGTTGGTGTATGGCCGGGCCTCCGCTCGGGGTCTGTGCTCAGATCTGGGAAAGGGAGGGAATCTCGCTGGGCTCGAGGGTGCTATCGCCTATCCAGTACCGCCCATGCTTCTTGCCTTGTCCGAGCCTCATGACCATCGTCCCATCGATGTCGTCGGTGCTCGGATCCTAGTCTGGCCCATGGACCGACCTTGCCTCCGAAGTGTACGAACTGATGCGGGTGTGGACGCTCGGGTTGCTGTAGGACTCGGGCGGGTCATCCAGGGTGAAGGTGACAGCGGACGTCGCCTTACCCTTGCGGGCTAGACCATATGCCATGAAATTGGAGATGGACTGCCCACCATGTGACGCCGACTGCGAGAAAGACAACAAGATGATTAGAAGAAACATGCAGAATGGAGCGTAAGAATACTAAAAATTCACGTACCCATGCTTGCTTGTACGCGCCGAGGCTGCGGCTGCCTTGATGGTGTGTGGGGCCTGTCGCTGCCATACGTCGCTCCCGCCCCGCCTTGTGGTCCTGGATATAACCCTCCGTGAACCACCTGTCCACGATCATCTCCCAGCAGTCCTGATACGACTCGCACCACCATGGAATTGTCTACATGTCATAAAGAATTTGAGATGTAAGAAGACCAAATTAAAGCTACTTAATCTCAAAACAAATCAGTATTATTCTTCTTCATTTACCTCAAGGTACTGTTCTCGGGTCAACGTCCTCTGTCTTGCCTGTGTCTTGGTGATCTTCTCACCAAGGTGCTTGGCGTAGTACTTGACGATGCAAGTGAGGCGCTCCTCGTAGTGCATGTCGGTGATTCGTTTTCTGGCACTTTTCACCATCACCTTCTCTGCCCTGTCCTCCTGTCCCTCTTCACATCTGAAAAAAGTCTGCAGACAGACACAATGTATCAATTCATTATGTCAAAAAAGTCAAATGAATGCGATGTATTGATCAAAGTTGTGCGAGCGAGACTTACCCAGAACTCTCTCCTCACCCGCTCCTGCTTATCTCCACATGCGTCGGGGGCATCTTTGTAGTGGTCCCACGATTTGGCCGGCTCAGTGTTCCCCTTGTGCGTGACAATGCCGGGGTAAAAGTGCCTGCACACAAGACCCAAGATGTGGTTGGGGTTGCGTGAGTCACCAGGCGACACAACCAGCCAGTGCCTGCACAAGTCATTAACAAACATTATTAGTTTCTCTAACAATTTTCAACAGGTTATATGAAGTAGCTGTGATAAAATCTAAAGTTACTTACCTGTCCCCTTGGGGGCGGATCACTGGGCGTAGGGGAAGAAGCGGAGGCCCAGGGAGTTTCGAGGGACCTCGCAAGTAGATCCTGGCCACAATAGAGGAGTCCGAACCAACTGTGCCTCTAGCCTCGCCGCCCTGTTGTGCCTCGTCTCCCTCGTCGTCCATCTGTCGAACCAGGTCCTCCTCGTCCGAGGAGTCCGAGGTACGGCGCTCCTCCTCTGGCACGTCACATGGCCTGACTAGAGGAGGCCGGCCCCTCCTGCTGCCGCTGCCGCTACCGCTGCTCCTAGCCCTCTACCTCCTCCCATCCAATGACCCCTCTTCTGCATCCGGATCTGCATCGCGTGCCCTCATGAACCTCGAGTTCACGTTCCTTGGCACACGACTGCCCGCCATCTTTGTTCAATCACCTGCAATTAAAAAGAAACAAACAAGACATATTAGTATATGTGTTAAAAATAGATGCTAAATAAAAAAACAAAACACGATTACAAAATAACATAGTATTACATGTATTAGAAGTAATCATCATTACTGGGATTATCTGGATCATATGTCTCGTCATCACTATCAAAATTGTCCAAATAAACAACACTGTCCGAAGGTTCAATGTTGCCTTCATCGTCATCGTCTAAATGTAATCGCTCAAGCATTTCTATGTCCTTGGCATTTTGCACCTCATCTCCTTCTTCCTCGTCATCGACCCTTTCACTGTCTACTTCCATTCCGATCGCCTCGGTTAAGTCTATCACCAACCTCCCTAGTAGCCCATCTTCTTGATAGAACTCTCCTTCATATGTGTTTGGGTTGAAGTTGTAATCTTCATCGTTTGGGACAGCTAGTCTACCATGTGGCGATACCTGGTGCACAATAGCCCACCCCTTAAGAGCCTTGTTGCCTTGGCACGCGTATGGCAAATAATAAACCTGCACGCCCTGGTGAGCCACAATAAAGACATCTTTTCCTTGATAGACGGAATCTTGTCGAATCTCGACTTGACCAATATTAGGGCTCTGTTACGTTAGTCGAGGATTGAACCAGTAGCATTTGAACATGACGAGACGAAGAGGTTTCGAACCATAAAATGAAAGTTCATAGATTTCTTCGATTATGCCATGATACTCGAGGCCATCAGTGCCGGGAGTACAAACTCCGCTGTTTGTGGTTTTTCGATGGGGCCGAGCTCGCTTGTAGCTTGCTGTGTGAAAGTGATATCCATTCACATCATAACCTGAATAAGCTTTCACCTTATTATTGAAGCCATTTGCAACCTGTCTCAACTCCTTACTCATAGTTGCATCGGTTTGGGCCTGCAAGCGCAAGAATGAAAGATTGCTGGACTAAGTATGCGAAACTCGAAATCTCGAACTAGGTATGAGGTAAATTGGACAATACCTTTGTTTTGAACCAAGAAATGAAACCAGGCCTCCCTGCTCTCGAGCCCTATGAAAGAAGGGTATCGGTTTGCCGTGGGGTTGGACCCCTTGGTTGATGCCAGGATACACGAATAAATTCCCTGTGCAAACGAGAAAGAATCAGTTGGATGCAGAATAGTGACGGCGTATTGAAACAAGTTCGTTGAGAACTTACTCAATGAATGGCTTCACCTCGGTTAGGTTCTACAACACATATAGCATGATACTGCGCCACTCTTCATTATCCAACCTCTTATTGGTCGATCCACTTGCGCTTCCGAGTTGCCCTTGGAAAAGGCTGAGGTTGGATTCATTCTCATTAGCATTGTAGCGAGGGAGTGGATTATGCACGCTAGGAAGGTTCGTTGTGTAGTATAGCTGTGTGAAGTTTGTCACCTCCTCCAGAATGGAAGCCTCTGCAATGGAAGCCTCAATTTTGGCTTTATTTCTACATTTTTTGCGAACGGCCTTCAGACATCTCTCGATTGGATAGCACCAACGGGCCTGCACGGCCCCCCCATACGTGCCTCATACGGGAGGTGCACAATCAAATGCTGCATCGACAAGAAGAAGCCGGGTGGAAAAATCTTCTCCAACTTACAAAGCAACTCAGGTGCCACTTTCTCCAAGTTTGCAACCACGGTCCGAGATAGCTCCTTGGCACAAAGCTGGTGGAAGAAATAGCTCAACTCTGCAAGCACTAGCCAGACATGTTCAGGAACATAGCCTCGTACCATCGCCAGAAGAAGCCGCTCAATCCATACGTGGTAGTCATGACTTTTCATCCCGTTGACTCATATAGTGCCTAAGTTCACTCCCCTGCTCAGGTTCGCTGCATACCCATCAGGGAA